GCTTGACGTCTTTTTCTATTTCCCAAATTACCCTTCATTAACAGTTTTAAACTAACTTCCATGAAAAGTGTTCAGTATTTAATACATTAAAACTAATACTGACACAGACTTTTGTGTTCTTTAGGAAGTGTCTGTATACACCGTAAAACCAAGTTTCTAAATACCATGAGGCATGCCCTTGACGGCGAGGTCAAACCTCAATTCTTACGAGTTATAACGGAAGTCAAACCTTATAATGGAGCCAGAATAGTGTTAACGTGACGGTAAAGTCAAGCCTTGGGTAATTATAAATTTACCTAATTACCCCTAACTTAAATGACATAATCTTTCGGTTCTAGTTTTGATTCTTGAAATCGTGATAGTAATTTTTGAAACGCACATCCAAATACCCTCTGACGTTCTTTTTTATTGGAGATGTTCGTTTGACGAGTTCCCGTGTTCGAATTCGACGAAGGGTATTTTGGGAAATGAAGTAAAAACAGAAGAAGAAACACGTTACGTAAGGGTACCCAAATAAACAAAGGTTTTAAACGCCGGATTTTAAAAATTTGTGACTCAACGTTGCAATTCCGTTAATCATTTATAAGCCGACAAACGAAGTCCGCCTGTTGTTTTGTTGGCTTCTCTCTGATTCTATATTTTTTGCTTCATAAAATATGGCTTGCTTGGCTCGGCTCATTCAAGACGTGGCTCCCAAAGCCGTGGGAACTTTGGATCCTTTAACTAGTTGTTTTTGGTTAACATGTAATAATATTTTCAACAGATTCTTTAAAATTATAAAAATAAAATTATAACAGGTTCGAATTAATTCTCTGTTTTAACAGATTTTCTAAAACTGTGTTAAAATTGCAAAAAGATCTGGGAGAAATGATGAAGAAATAATATTTTATTAAATGTATTGAATATTTTAAAAATATAATTAATATTGCGATTTTTAAAATGAAGAATTATAAAAAAATTGGGTGGGGGATTTGATTTTTGATTCTTCATTTTGGAGAATCTATTGGAGATGGTCTAACAGATAATAGGTAGGGCTGTAAACGAATCGAACGTTCAGCGAACCGTTCGGCGGGAAATTCGTTTATGTTCGTTTAGTTAAACGAACGAACATGAACAAAAGTCTCGTTCGTTTATTTATGTTCATGAACGTTCGTTTATTTACCGTTCGTTTACGTTCATTCGTTTATATACTAAATTTAATATATAATATTTTGTTTATTTACTTTGAATTCAAATAATATTTATTTATGTTCGTTTAGCTCGTTTGTTTATGTTCATTTAGCCCGTTCGTTTAGCATGTTAACAAACGAACATAAATGAACACGAACACACATGATTTCTGAACGAACGAACAAACACAAATATTTTCGTTCGTTTACCACTCGTGTTCGTTCGTTTGTTCGGTTAAGTTAAACGAACGAACATGAACAAGCCTACATTCGTGTTCGTTCGGTTTGTTTACAGCCCTAATAATAGGGTTAAAATATGTGATGTAATAATGTATTTTACGTCAATTGCTATTTTAAAATGGTCGTTTACCAAACGCTTACCAACATGAGACACGTCCTCACTTACCTTATCGTGTAAGTTGTAACGTTCCCGGATATCAAAATGGATTATTGGTTGGACAAATTGCATGAAAAAGTAACGTACTTTAACTTGATTCTCATTTTGAGTAACATACTTTCAAAACTTTCATATTGATACTCAAGATGTAAAGTTTTAAACATTTAAGTATCCGGGTAACCGGTTTAAGCATTAACCGGTTACCATGCTGATGTGGCGAGTGATATAGTATACGATTAATGCTTCAGCAAATAATACTGAGTTGGATACCACATCACTCGCCACATCAGCATATTAACCAGATTTGCTTCAACCGGTTACCCAAATAATACCAAAATGGAAGCTTTTGAAGTACGTTACCCAAAATATGAATCAAGTTAAAGTACGTTATTTTTCATGCAATTTGCCCTTACTGGTTAACGTCTTAAACTCGGTAATCACTTACTAGGTATGAGTTTTTTTCCCTCACTTACCTGATAAAATTTTTGGTCCTTGTTATGCTTCATACAGTATAAAATTGTTGGTCATTTGCATGCTCAATTGATAAACTTTTACTGGGTAAGTGTTTGGTAAACGGCCCTACATGGTTTAATTTTCGTTCACCGATTATGATATTTTACATTTTAATTATCATATTTTATCGTAATATAATGGTCAGATTAGTTTCAAAAGTACATCAACGAACAATTGGTCTAAAATGGACGAAAATTAAAGTATCTGTTATTTTATATAAAATCAGCATCTTGGTGTGCCATCAGAAAACTCAGCCAAACCAATTACTGAATGTGCATCTTAACTGTGGAGTTTTGATGAGATCTGGTTTATTAGTGATAGTATGATCATACTCACTGAATCTGCATCTTGCTGTGCCATCTTACGTAGCCTTTTCAGAGAAGTAGTTAATCAGATAAAAAATCATTTAATGTGTAATTATTAAAAAAAATATTATTATTTTAATAACATAGTCTTTTTAATCGAATAAGATAAATAAATAATTTATAAAAGTAATAAATAAAATGGGTCGACCCGACCCGGCCCTTTTCGATCCATTTTGAACTAGTACTCAATTTGTACAACCTACCCATTCTATCACTTTTATCATACTTGAAAACCCCTTTTTGTTAAACAGTGTCTACTCAAACCAACTTCTGTACACATCGACTAATTCTATGGGGCTCTGAAAATTACAGCAAGAAAATCTCAGTAACGTTAAGGAGACTCGAACTGACAACAACTTGCAGAAATCGATCTTTAAAAAGATAGACAAGAAATTTTGTACAACTTATAAATACATATATGCTCGTGATTCATCCCAACCCCTAAATTACTGACTGAAACCCAATAAACGAATTCATGAAAATATTTATATATGGTAAACGTAACAAATAACCTCAAATTGGTGAGATTTGAACCCGTGACCTCTTAAGAGACCAAAGTCTTTGATACCACTAGGCCAAAGGTCCTTTGGTGTCATAATTCTAGTTCTAACAGACCTTTTATAAGTTCTGAAGTTATATGACCAAAGAATTGTGCATTATGTGCAAAAGTATTATCATAAGTTTATAGAACACTTTTGGACGTCTTACTACCTAGAAACAACTGAGTTTTGTTGATGACCTCTGTAAATTATCTGAAAAATGTCATACAAAAGTGTTGCATAAAAAAATGTGTCATTGAACACTTTTTCAAAGTGTTCTATAAAGGAAGTGTCTTACAATGAAACTAATACGACATTTTATTTAAAAAAATGTCCTAAAAAACTTGTTAAGACGTTCAGAAACGTCAGCTAAACTTACTGTAACTCTTTTACCTATGATGCACACTTGTTTCGTCTTATAATTAAAATACTGAGATACTTTTTACATCCTATAAATCCAGTTTTGTTGTAGTATACGAGTATTTAACTAATAGTTATATGTCTATAATATCCTTCAACAATACCAACATAAAAGGACTACAAAAACCCAACATTCTTAAGTTATTAGTAACTTATAACAATGTCAAAAGGGCATATTAGTAATTTAACTTGATACTACAAAAAGCCAATAAAGACCTATAGTTGCATATTTTGTTTGTTAGTAATGTTTGCCAAGTATTGTGATTGAAAATTTAACTTGGGTGGTGTCTGATTGATTTGAGTTTGGGATTCAAAAGTTAAAAGTGTCTAGAGGTAACATGTTCAAATCCAATGAGAAATAAAAATCCACTTATGGCAACGGAGGTTCAAATGCAGTGACTCCGGACTACCCGCAAAGCAGGTGGTCCTCTTGGGATTAGTCGGCTCTCATAGCGGGTTGGATATCCAGGTTAATCAAAAAAAAATTAACTTACTGTTATAAGATATTGATGTAGAATTTCTTTTTGAGCTTTTTTCTGAACATGTTTTTCAGGTCAAACGTATTTATGGAAATAATTGATTCATTTTTACTGATAGAAGATAAGTATGCATACATTTCTTTATACCTTGTTTTCGTGTAAGATATATCAGATTTGTTTGATTTGAACTGGTTTATTATGAATATTGAGAAATAATCATACATGTGTATTATTAATATTAGAAGGGTACTCACGCAATGCAGCGAGATACATCTTGATTTTAATATATTCACTTTATTCTTTATCTCAATCGATGTTATAATACGGTCTTATGTGATTTTGAAAAAAATGATGATGTTTTTATTTTTGAATAAAATATAAATTTGAAGATATCATAAAAATTTGACACAATTATATCGATATTAATATCAAATTAATAATCCAAAATTCCTCATTTTTTGTGTAATTTTTTAATTCAATTTTAATTTAAGTTCAATAACGAAGTAATTTATACTTGGTTTAGTAGTATAATTTTCTTATAAAGATAATAAATAATTATTTTGTTAGAACTCGATAATTATCCTAATTATATTTTAGATGTTTTATATTTTTAAAATGAGATATTTATCCTCCATTTGATTATGTTTATCCGCAGTTAGTTACACGAATTCAAACATGGAGCTTTAAGAAGTTGTACTTATACATAATTTACTTGTAATCTTGAATTCTAAGTAATATGCATCAATATACAGTACTTCATACATAAAAAATAGTTTTTAAGAGTTTTTGTCAAATACATTATAATATAGTATAGATATGTTTAATTGAATACCATATTTATAAATAAAAAAAATGAGTAATCTACTTGGGTATATACCTAGTTGTTGGGAGCCAAGCCAAAAGGTTTTTGTGCAAGAGGATATAAAATATTATATTGCTAAAAAAATATGAAAATAATGGTGGAATATTTATAATATATAGTATTATATACACCTTTTGTGACAACATTATATATAGTTCCACACCACATGCAACCATGGAACAACTTTCTCTCATACCAACAAATTTGTTTTAATAGAAAAATTCACGGTACCAGTTTCTTTTAGTTTCGGAAGTAAATGATGATCATTGCAGCATCGGAAACTACCAAAACTGCAGTCACGTCCACCGTCACTGCCACTGCTCCTGCTGCAATCACCACCACACCTACGATGAAGGTAGTGAAACCCGCGACAAGAAAATTTGTTGGGGTTCGACAGAGGCCATCGGGACGATGGGTGGCTGAAATCAAAGATTCTTCCCAGAAGGTGAGGTTGTGGCTTGGTACTTATGATAGCCCTGAAGAAGCAGCTCGAGCATATGATGAAGCGGCTCGGGCTTTGAGAGGTGAAAACGCTAGAACCAACTTTGCACCGATGGTAAATTCGAACCCTTGTCAAATCAACTCGATATCTGGTTCGTTATCTGAATCAGAATCAAGACGTTCACTTAGCTTTTCTTCGTTGAAAGCAAGGCTAAGCAAAAACTTACAAAGCATCATGGCACGAACAACTGAAAATAAGTCGTCACCGAAAAGCAGGGTGAGTGATCATTTCACTTTTGCAAGTATATTCAACTTCAAGGGAAACTATCAGTACCAGAACAACGTTGTAGGTGACTTCGACAAAGTGGTGCAACCTAGCGTGATTGTGCCACCACAAACAATGGCAAATCACGATGTTGCCACAACGTATAACTCATCTTGGGAGAGCTCAAGCGTGTCTGACTGTAGCAATGAATTGGCGAGTTTCAACACTACACATTACGGATTGGACTCAGATGGCTCAGATATTGGTGAAGGTAGTTATTTTGGAGACCAGATGATCAGTGGGTGGATCAGTAGTCCAGACATCAGTGATGGTGGCTCAAGGAGTAAAAGGTTTAAGGTTTCTTCATCGGTCTTTGTTCCTCCAAAGTTCAGTGATAATGACTTTGCTTTTCCGTGGTAAGACCAATAAATATAATTAGACGAAGTTTATCAGGTTTACAAGAAACTAAAGGGCTTAACAGGGTTTCTCTTCAAACTATGGGAAAGTCATGGAAAATCGTCATGCACCCTCTTGTTTCTGCTTCTTTATCATCTTTACTTTACAGGTCTTGTTTATCGATGTAAAAAGAAACTAAAATATAGTTATGGATTTTACTTAGTAGATCTGAAAGTAATTATTCTTAACCAGATATCTGAAATACCAGTTCCAGAACTGAAAAGTAGTCACCAGATTTACCCAAAAGGAGTTTTAATTGATATACAGTATTATAAAATAAAAGTATTGTAATCATCATGAGATAAGAACGTATAATTTGTCCGTTAGTAATTTAATAAAGATTATATCATCCATGGTCCCTTTAATTTTTTTAAAATATTAAGTTAGATATAAGTATAAAAAATAATATGAATATATTTAATTTATCAGTCAGATCTATAATTATTACACAGCATGAGTGATATGCACCAGAAATATGAAATAACTGATGATAAAAATATAGAAATAAACTGTATCACCTTTTTGTTGTGGAATGTTAGATGCTGAGCTCGCTTAATAAACGTATTTTACTAAAAATCAGATACCTGAAACATCTTTTAATTTAAAAAAAAAGGTTTGCCTCTTAATAAATCTAAAACCCTCTGAATGATTTTGTATTTTGGGTCTCTCTTAACCATTCAGCGTTCTAATTTCATTATAAACAATTATTCAACAATTATGTTTCATTTTGCACTATATCATCAGAGTCTTTTAATCATCCTGACCATTTAATCATTTTGCATCAAACCATTCAGCAACTATCAAACATATAGACATTTTTTATTATATATTCTTACCAATGAAAAAAAAAAACTTTTAAATTAAATATTTAGAAAAAAGAAATAATATTTCATTAAATACATGAAATATCTTAATAATATAATCAATGTTGTAACCTTTAAAATAAAATATTAAAAAACTGTTAAAAGTTGCTATTATTTTATACAGAGATTTTTGCTTTTGATTCTCCATTTTATTTTATTTTTGTAAATACAGATAAAAAAAAAACATTTACTATGATGACCTCATTATGTTTCCTAACCTCTTGGGAAGGGAAACGATATAGATCGCAAATTGTCTCTTCTTTTCAACGAAGATGAACCCACTACATTAAATTATAATAAAAGACAAGAAAAAAAAAAGGGGAGGGGGAGGGGGAGGGGCTACCATCAAAGTTTGGATTATTGGAATTTAATGGAATCTGAAAGAATTAAAATGGTTAATTTTACTGATTAAATTTTATCTGTGTTTTTTGAGTTTTAATATGGAATTTTAGTTCGGTGTATGGTGGGATACTGGTTTTAATAAGGAGTTTCAATTCCTTTTCACATGTATGGTGGATCAGAGGTCTACAAAGTCGTTTAATGTGTTTTTAGCTGAATTCTACTGTGTAAAGAGATTTTTAAGTTTTTTTTATTGATTTTAAATTTTTTGGTTGATTTTGATGGACTTTTTTTTCCGCTTTTTTGGGTAATTTATGTGAATTTTTTTTCCGATTTTTTGGTTGATATCCATTGTGTTGTTGTAATATCCATGAGCACCACTCGGAGTCTAGTGGGTGCACCTTTCATACCCAAAAAACTGTACTCACTAAAATAAGTTGAGTAGATGCACTTTTCATTCAAAAAGAAGTTGTACTTGCAAAAATAAGTTGAGCAGGTGCACGAGATCCCGCTTGAGCCTTCATAGGTCCGCCACTTCTTCTGTTTTTACGAGGTAAAACCGGAAAGTTTTACATATTTTCATAACTGTGCAAATTTTATTATATACTTCTCTGTTACAAGATAAATGTCTACACTGCTATTTTAATTTGTCTCAAAATAAATATCTGCTTTCAAAAGTAGTTGTTTACTTTTCCATTCTACCTTAATTATAAGATGAGAAAAAAAAATTCTCTATTTATAATTAAGGGTAAAATTGTCTTTTTGTCAATTAAAAGGTGTAATAATCCCACATTCTAAAACTGTATGCATTTTTCAGTATAGACATTTCTTTTGTGGTGGAGAAAGTAAGTGGCCGTTTATCAAACGCTTACTCGGATAAGTAAACACCAAGTCGTTTTACTTTACTTTACCGGATAAAAATGGTAATGATCAAAAATCTTACCCAGTAAGAGCGAGACAAGGACCAAAAGTCTTACCCGGTAAGTGAAGGCGACGACTCTTACCACGGTAAACGCTTAGTGGGTAAATTGTTGCATACGATACTGTTTTGGTGAACTAAAATCTTATCCGGTAAATAAATGAAAGTGTTAAATTTACCGATAAACGCTTACCGGGTAAGTGTTTGGTAAACACCCCTAAGAGTTTTGAAATGGGTATTCATTTAGCATTTTTCTTAATAACAAGTATAAGTATAATGATTAATTTGTAATACATATTAATACAAGGGTTAAAATGCATTCAATCATAAGAATGAGGGTATAAAAAGAAGCTTTGATATAATAGGAGGTTATTATATGGAAAATAAATGAATTTATAGGGACTAAAGTTGACATATAGATGAAAGTAGTGTCTGTGCACGGCTTTCGGCCGACAGCAGATAGCGTTACAGCACCGTCGCCCGAACCCAAAGGCTTTAAAAACTCCCGTACAAATGCAAAATGTCCAAAAAGTCCTTCCCACGCGCCTTGGTCCACGTTCTGCAGCTTTTCTCCTTTTTTATAAATTTTTTAAAGCAGTACAAAAATACTCACGCAATGTAACGAGATATATTTTAATTTAATATTTCGTTTTATTTTTTATCTTTGTCGATATAATACAGTTTTATGTAATTTTAAAAAAGCGTTAATATTTTTATTTTTGAATAAAATATAAATTTAAAGATTTTATAAAAAAAAATTTAAAAATATTTCAATAAAAATATCAAATTAATTATTTAAAAGTTTTCATTTTTTTATAATTTCTTGGATTCAAAATTTTTATTATAATTCAATAGTGTTATTTGTAATCTTGAATTTTAAGTAATATACATCAATAAACAGTATTTCGTGCATAAAAATGATTTTTGTCAAATGCTTTATAATATAGTATAGATTTATTTAAATAAAAATCTTTGAAATAATTATACCAAGGGAAATTGGCAAAAATAATCAATACTCAATTCACTTTATAGTCACTTGAGGATCTTTATTTTTTTAAAGAACAAATTATATGAAAAAAATAAAGTATTTTAACTCGATTTCTATTTTGGATAGCATACTTTAAAAACTTTTATTTTGATACATAAAATGTAAAGTTTTGAACATTTAAATACCCGAACAACCGATTGAAATAAATTAACTACAATTAATGAAAAAATTAAATTAAATCAATTGGAATAAAAATAATTTTATTTTTACTTAGTTTACTACAATTTATTTACTACAATTTAAATAAATTTATTTTTGTTTTTTATTTTTACTTAGTTTACTAGTCTTCAACCAGTTACCTGAGTACTTAAATGTTTAAAACTTTATATTTTAGATACCAAAATGGAAGTTTTGAAGGTACGTTACCTAAACACTTACCGGTAAAATTAGGGTTTGTTTACCTAAACACTTACCGGTAAAATTCAACACTATCGTTTACTTATCAGGTAAGATTTTATTCATTAAAACGCATCATATGCAACGATTTATTCTGGTAAGCGCTAACTATGGTAAGAGTCATCGTCATCACTTACCGTGTAAGACTCTCGATTCTTGTCTTCGCTCTTATCGGGTAAGATTATTAGCCATTGTCATATTCATCCGGTAAAGTAAAGTGATTTGGTAAACGGCACCTTAGTCATACAATCGGTAAACAAAAGTGACCAGGAGCGTAATTTACTCGATTTGTAGTTAATTCGTTTAGAAAACCCAATCCATAATTTTGATATAACATGGACCAAATCTATAGTTTACACTAAAATCTAGGGTCGTTCGCCAAACACTTATTCGATAAGCGCTTACCGGTAAATTTTCAACATTATCACATACTTACCAGGTAAGATTTTAGTCCACCAACACGGCATCATATACAACAATTTACCCGGTAAGCGCTAATCGTGGTAAGAGTCGTCACCATCACTTACCGAGTAAGACTCTCGGTCCTTCCCTTCGTTCTTGTCGAGTAAGATTCTTGGTTTTTGTCATATTTATCCAGTAAAATAACGTGACTTGATAAGTGTTTATCCGGGTAAACATTTAGTAAACAACCCTTAAATAGGATTTGTTTGGTTTCCAAATTTATTATGTTGGATTAAATAATTGAGAAATAATAATTAAATCATGATTTAAAAAGCTTTAATTATGGATGCAAATGATTTGAAATAGTTTGACCCATTTTAATGCGATTTATAACTCAAACCTTATTCAACTATTTGAATTAAACATCATTAAAATTTAAGGTTTAATTTATATAATATTTTAATAATATAATAATAATATTATTATTATTAAATATATTGGGATGATAAATTTATATAATATTTTAATGATATAAATGATATTGAAATCATTAATTTAATATTTGAGACTTTATTTTAAAAATTAATTAAAATAGTTGTAGAAAATGTAAAACCCGAACAAAAAATAAGGTATTTATGTAAAACCCGAATGTCTGAAAATCCGAAAACCGACTTTTTGGGAAAAAAAATTGGGTTTGGGTTGGGTTTGATGTTTGGCCACCCGATCCGTCCGAAAACCCGAAATATATATACATGTATACTTTAAACACTATATAAATATATTTATTTATCTAATTATCTTTTTGAAAATTCTAAAAATCTTAGTCGATTATGTTTTTTTTTCCTTCATAATTTATAAGCATACTATCAATTTATCAATCCTCTAAACCGATTGAATTCATCGTCAAAATCAATTGGATATATATATTTTTTGCATTATAACTAAACCCAAACTCGATTGACCTCAACCCGAAACCCAACCAACCCGAACCTGAAAC